ATTAAAGTTTGTAGATAAATCGTAAAAATTTTAGTGCTAAAAGATTCTTTACACTGCACAGTGGGCCAGAGGTGAGAAAACACAAAGGTGAGCAAACTCAGAGGTGAGCGAACTCCTCAAAACCAACTTCTATAATGGAGTAATTTCTTTTCATAAATCTAGAGACCTCTAGCTTCTGATTTTTTTTTCTATTCGATTTTTAAGTTCAGTCTATCAATTTTACCAATACAAAAATGGCAATGTTTTACATTCAAATATTGGTAAAAAAAATAAAAAATAAATAAAATAATTAAAGAGTAAAATAATTTTAGAACATCTTAATTAACGGCAATAATTAGTTGGTAGAAATCAAATTTTAATTGCTTAACGGCATATCTTAGTTGGTAGACATCGAATTTCGAAATAAAAAGAAAAAATGTGAAACTTTATTTTTTTTGCTCGCATTTTTTGCAAGTGTTTTTCAATAAATAATACGCCTAACCTTTTTTTAACTTAATACGCGCAATATTTTTTTAACACTGACTCTTGCACAAGCAGAAAAACACTTGGCTGCACTGGACCACGCATGTGATCAACTTTAAATTGCACTCTCACATATAAAACATTAAAACTAAATTTTCTGAGCTCAGTTGAGCGTAGTAGGTGCTAGGCTTTTTATTACAAATGAAATCCAACCATACAGAACCCTCAAACAAAATGTTTGTTATTTAATTTGTAACCATTAATGCTAACAAACTGCTTTCGATTTGAAAGATTAAAACCGGTTACAAGCAACTCCTCGGATTCCGTAATGTTCAAGTTTAGAAATTAAAATGGTATGATTAACGGTATTGAACGCTTTTTGTAAGTCGATAAAAACACCACCTACAAAATGACCAGTATCCAGTGCCTTTTTTATCTTTTCGGTTATACTTATTAAAGCGTGGCAAGTAGAGTGATTTGAATAAAATCCAAACTGAAATTCATTTAAACATTTAAAGGAATTCAAAAATGAGTATAATCTAGAGTAAATTAGTTTTTCAAGGAGCTTGCTAATGTTAGAAAGAATTGAAATTGGTCTATAGGTAGTACATGAGAGTTATGAGCCATTTTTATATATTGAAATGACACAAGATAATTTCAAAATGTCAGTAAAAATTCCGTTTAAGAAGGAGATATTAAATAGCTTAGAGTGAATATGAGAAAATTCAGAATTAAAATCAATAAGAATTTTTGTGGGGATGCTGAGAGGACCTATTGATTTTCTAAGTTTTAATTTAGATATAAGTGATGAGATTTCAGAATGGTTTGTTGGAGATATGAGTAAACTATGAAGATTTGGATATTTAAGATATTTTTTATAGCTAATGTAAGATGATTGAATTTTAGAATTAAGTTTATGAGCTGCATTTATGAAAAAGTTGTTGAATTCTTTGCAGATTAGAGTTGGTTCAGTTATGTATGTTTCGTTAACTTGTAAGCAATTTGGAGGTTATTTACATTTTTGACATTTATTAGACTTTTTATGTCTTTCCAGGTATCACGAAGATTTTTTATATTTTCTGAAAATAATTTTTTGAAATGTATTTTTTTTACTCAGTTTTGTTCGATTAATTATGGTATACTTTTAGCATTTTAAAGATAGTTTTTAGTTTAATTATATTTGTTGGATCTTTTATCCTTAACATTCTTCCTTGAATATGATTACAAATTTGAATTGATTTTATTATTCTTTTAGTAATCTATGGCTTGAATTGACGTTTGTAGGTCTTAATACTAATTTCTTTGAGTGGCACATGAAATTCTAACAACAATGTTGTTTGAGTATCATGTGCCACTAAACAACATTGTTGTTAGATTTTAACGTCGTTTTTATTGATAATGTTATTCTAATCAACTTTTAAAAATTCAGATTTGATTAATTTTTTATTATAACTTTTAAAGATCCTGCGGTATAAATTATGATTGCGTGGTATAAATAATTTGTTGAAATTAGGACAAACAAGAAATTCAGGTAGGTGGTCAAAAATAGAAGTTGTTAGATTTCCTGAAATAGTTTGGTTAGTGGTTACATTTGAAAAAACATTGTCAATGATTGTAGCAGAATGATCAGTAACTCTCGTTGGTAGCGTAATAAATGGGCGAATCACAACTGAGTAAGTTTAAAAACTCAGAAGTTGTAAAGTCAGAGTTTGACTGTATCAGAACCATGTTAAAATTGCCAAGTAGAAAGACAGATTTATTTTCAGAAGATATTTTTTGGAGAAGGACAGATATTTTATTATTGAAATCGTTTGCATCCATGCTAGGGTGTCTATATATGCAATCAACAGTAATATGTGGCTTTTTGGGAAAATAGTTTCAACAAAAGCAAATTCTAAATAGTTTGGTATGTATATGATCAAATCATCTTTTCTTTTATAAATTAATTTTTCGATAAATATAACAAGGTTCCACCACAAGAAGATTTGGTTGGTGTGTGCCTAAAATTGTAATTTTGAATAATAATTAGATGCGTGGAAGGAGATTCTTTTTTTAATCTTGTTTCTGTAATTCCAATAATTCTAAATTCAAAATAAATTAATGGTAACAATATGTTCAGATCTTCAAAGTGCTTTTGTAAAGACGATATGTTTAAATGGAAAAAGGACATAGAGTTTGTGATATCAAAGTTATAAGAACAAAATTTAATAATTTCATAATACTGACAATCTACATCAAAAGATGAACAGCTTTCCTCATCAGAGACTGAAGTATGTGATATAAGAAATTTATTAAAATGAGTATAGATTTTATTCAATCCCGATGCTGGAAAAAGTTCAGTTGATAAAGGCAAGCCATCAGTTACAATGATTTTATTTGAAGAAAAGAGTAGTTTAAATTCATCATCAGATACATCAGTCAATGGAAGACACCTTTGGTACAATTTACACTCAGCAATGTTGAGCATTTTGAATGTGTTAAATTGTACCCATGATCATTAAGCCTGCTACATTTTGAATGAGTCCAAAACAAACATACACCCATTGAGTTGCACAGCAACTTACACTAACTTTTTTTGTACATGCAGTGCATACTCCCCTAAAATTAGAGGTCATAGTAAAACTAATGAGAAAGATAAAAGAAGAAAATTTGCAAAATTTAGAAGAAAGCTTGAAGTTGTTAAGTTTTAAAAGAAAAGAATAGAAAATAATAATGAAAATAACAATGAAGAATAATAATGATACAATATTGTAAATAGTAAATATAATAGTAACAATTATAATAGTAATAATAATAATATTTGCCGTAAATTAAGCAGTATTAATGAACAAATTAATATAAAATAATAGTTCTAATAATGAAACAAAAATAAGAATATATAAATAAATATAAATCAAATAGAAATTGTATAAAAGTTATATCTAATATTATAAATATATTATAAACAAAAACAGAAACAACATAAAATAAAAATAAATAAAAGTAAAAATAATATCTTAATAACTAAATTAAATATAATAGTAATATATTTAACAATAATATATTAATAATAATGTATAATTAAATAAATAAATTAAAATAATTAAATAAAATAAGTTGCAACAAAATTAAGTTAAATATAAACTATATTTAATCAAATATAATTTATTTCCTTTCCTTAATAATTTTTACTTCTTTTTTTTCTTTTATTACTTTTTTTTATTTATGATTTTTATTGATTATTTGAATTGTTCAAATCTTTTTCAAATTTGAGATTCTTTTGTTAACCAGTAAACGTTTTTTTCTATATTTTTGGTTTCTGTATCGAATGTTGTATTTAAATTGAGTATCAATTTAAAAGTACTTTTTCCTTTTCTTTTTTCCTTTTCTTTTTTCTTTTTTTTTTTTTTTTCTAATTTATTTTCTATTTGTTCATCAAATTATTTCTTTACTTTATTCGGTTTAGATTAAATATCTTTTTTTATCCTATTTATTTTTACTGATCCGTTAGAAAAACACATCCGCTATCAACGATATTCATTTAATAGTTTTTTTTATTACTATTTATTTTTGTTATGTTTTTTTTTAATATAAATTTTTGTAAATTATTGTGTTTTGTTAATTTACGTGATTTATGAAAGAGGAGATTTATTATTTATATTTATGTATAGAAGTAGTTATTAACTTTGTAAAAGGAAGAGTTTAATTTAGTAAGAAAAAGTTGGTTTATTTACGAGGAAAAAGGTGTTGAAAGCGAGAAAATGACATCATCTAGCATTTTTAATTTTGGTATAGTCTAAATAACTTTTCTAAAATAGCAATTTCATTTAGAAATTTGTACTTTAAATGAGTTAGATGTCTTTATTCCATTTAAATAACCCCCAAAAATTGAAATAACCGTATATTATTTGTGAAAAAGAATCATTTCATGCACCTAATAACTATTATATCATGGTGATATTAAGGAATTACACTAAGAAAACAAGGAGTAGTAATACATTGAAACTCTCGCGGATAAACTATGATCTTATGATGAAATTCCTGTTTTTTGGCCTTATTTTTGGCCTTGTAACTGTTTGCCTCGGCCTTGTAAACTTTGGCCTTGGCTTAGGTTGTTTTGGCCTTGGTCTTCCACCTTTTTATTAAGAATTAAGAACTTTCTTTCATGTTTGCATTTTAAAAATTTTACTGCAGTTGATTACGTTTACAAGAGTTATTTTTGTTTACTTGAAAGTTTTAGAACTTAATTTTGTGTTTTGTATCATAATTTAAGTTTTTGACTATTTAAAAGCAATAATCTTTGACATAAATGTTTAATGGGAATTTATTATTATTATTTATCTATATATTATCATTTATATATATATACTATTATTTATATATATACTATTATTTATCTATATATACATTATTAATCTATATATATATATATATATATATATATATATATATATATATATATATATATATATATATATATATATATATATATATATATATATATATATATATATATATATATATCAATTCTAAACTAAACTAAGTATAAATATAAATACCGGCACATGACTAGGTACGGTTGATGATTGCAGAATTGTCCAGCGACGTTGTTTTTTAATTCCAATCTCGCTTTTATTATCGCAGTCTAATAATGTGCCAACTGATTTAGGTCTAGAAAAACCAAAATGAGGGCTCACTGATTGACGCCGCTTGTTTATAGAGTCTAAACAATAACAAGATATTCATTTAACTTAAGTTTTTATAAGATAATGTTTATAAGAAAAATTTGTAGATTTATAATTTTTATAGATCGAATTTTCATAAGATATTTATTTAGGTTTTTATGAGATATTTATTTAATTCTTATTTATATTTATTTTTTATTTTAATATTTTATTTTAGGAGCCCCAGTAAGAACCAACGGTCTTGTCTTAGAGCAACGCAGAAGAAAAATTTAGCTAGGAACGCCTCCTTCCTTATCGATGACATAAAGAACTTGCATTTGACCCTGGATCTCTTCTAAAGTAAGCGCTCCGATCTTACTGCTGCAAGGTATTTAAGTTATAACATGTATAAAACTATTTCAATAAAATTCCAGTTATTTTTAATTGAATTGATAACAAAAAAAAAAAGATTTACCTTGAACTTTTAACATCTTATCCTGCAACGAAATAAAATAATTACAATAAATTAAAATGAATAATACAGCATATTATAAAATTTCTATCAATTTTTTCATGAAATTTAATTGCATAATCTTATCATGAAGGTAATTTAATTGCATAATCTTATCATGAAGGTAATTTAATTGCATAATCTTATCATGAAGGTAATTTAATTGCATAATCTTATCATAAAGGTAATTTAATTGCATAATCTTATCAATTTATGTTTTTAAAGAACCATAGTTGAATTTATTGCTTGTTATTGTTTAAACTCAAAATTTTTGTTTACTCAAAATATTTAATTTTTTATTCAAAAATTAAATAAATAAAAAATAAAATTCAAAAAGTTAAAATAAATAAAATAAATTCTCTGCTTAGTTATCCCAGCAAAGATTCGGCGCAATTTCATCGGATCTAAATAAGCATTTTGAGCGGACCGCTGTAATTTTTCTCATCGGTTACTTAGTGGATCATTAGTGGCAGCCATAACAATGACTACCCAATATTAACATGATTTGTTTTAGATATAATCTTCATTTACTTACATATTATTTATATATTTATTGGTACCTTTTTAGGTGTAAAGTATTACAATGTTTTTAATAGTGAACAATGGGTGATTTAGAGGAGCGTTAAGAATGTCAATTGGTAATTTAGAGGGGCTTTAAGATTGATCAATGAGTGATTTAGTAGTTGCTGTTATTATTTATTTATTTTTTAGTTTAGTTTACATTATTTACATATAGTGATTTACATGTAATATATACATATAAACTTGAAATCTGGAAGAAGATCATATCGATTATGTGTCCAGAGCCATATAAAAATTACAATATAAATATAATATAAAATAATACAGTTTATAACAAAATAACAATCCAAAACATTTGAAATAATAAATGATTAAAATAATATCTCAAAAATATTTCAATATATTATCCGCTGAAAAAATAATATTCTTTAACAGAAAAAAAAAAAACAGAAAAAGAGATAGATGAATCTAAATTAGGCTAGAGAATTTTATTCCTGAGATAAGGTGCTTAATAATCTATACAAAATTTTATTCCTGAGATAAGGTGCTTAATAATCTACACAAAATTTTATTCCTGAGATAAGGTGCTTGATAATCTATACAAAATTGATTAAACTTTGTTTGAAAAAAGGTTCTTTTAAATAGTTATTATTTCACAAACTATATTTATTCTTTACTTTATGGTAAATAGGTTTTTAAAAACATTTAATAAAGGGTTGTTCATACAACAAAACGTAAAACATAAAGTATTATTCAAATTAAGTTCATAAATGTTTAATACATTAGTATCTTTGAATAAAGGTTTTGTGTTTGAAAAATAATTTGAAAAATATATTATTCGTATTGAATGTTTCTGATGGCGGATGATATTTTATCGTATCATTAATTAGGGATCGTCCATAAAGTACGTACGATGGGAGGGGAAGAGGGGTTCTGCATATGGCGTGTATAAGATGGGAGGGCAGTGGGTCAATTAAAAAAGAAAGGAGACGCTAGATTAAAAAAAATATCATAAAATGTTTGATAAATAGGTTAAAAGCGCAGGTACTTTTAAGCTGGTGGAGGGTAGTCAAAAAAGCGTATTGCAAAATGCGGGTTACGAAAGCAAAGCGTACGTACCTAATGAACGGCCCCTGACCGTAATTTTAAAGGGTTTAGACTCAAACGGAGACATAACTTTATTACACTTTTTTTTTTGTTAATGAATGCTGTATCAACAATATTTAAATTTGTTTTCTATAATTGGTCTTAAATTGTAGAATTATTTTCTACAATCCTAAGCATTTTCTTTCCTTTTCTTGGCTTGATCTTTAATATCTGCGTTAAAAATTATCTGAAATAAAAGTATTGTAAAATTAGTTGTTTCATGAAAGATTTAGCCTGTGAGACCAATGTATTTAATATTAACTGTATATTATAGTATTATCTTAAACCATGATGTTGGTGTGATTATTAGTTTAGCTAATTTTGTTTACCAAGTGCTTAATAATTTGTACAGTGTTTAGTATATTGTTCTACTTTAGTGTCAAAACACGGAATGTAAACTTTCTGTTTTAAGTTGTGTTTTTTTTAGTCCCATGTCTTATAAGAAAGACAAATTTAAAATATTTTTACAATAAATAAGAAAGACAAATTTAAAGTATCATAAAAATTAGTTAGGTAAATTTAAAATATTCTTACAATTTATAAGAGAAACAAATTTGTATTCTTACAATAAATAAACTTAAAATTTTGATAATTTAAAGTCCTCTACACCTAATTTTTTAAATAATTTTTGATTTGATTTTTTTGTTTTATTTTTACTTGTTTTTACCACCATGATGATATACAAGTAGCAAATAAATACATTAATAATTTGACTGACACGTGGCTTTACTTGGATCCCTGCCACGTTGAGGCAGGTTAACTTGTTACTATTTAGGTGTAACCTGCTTTTACTTGTTGAAAACAAATCCAACTCAGCTAAAAGTGCTCCAGCCATTTATGCTCAGCTGTTATAACATTGGTCCAAAAAAAGAATTTATTATGTTCCCATTTATGATATTAAAGAAATTTCAGTTCAAAAAAATCTTAATTCAATCTAATAAACTTGAAACTGGCAAAAAAAATTTAAGTTATAAACTAGCGCATAAAAACAATAACGTTTTAGTTCGAGATATAATAAAAATTTTTATACCCAAGAAGACTTCTATACTGAACTAGAAGCATATCTGAGAATTTGGAATGGAAAAATAAAATCTTAAAAGAAGCACATATGACTTTAATAATACATCCTATTCTAATGTTAAGCAAAAAGCAAAACTGAGACGAGATAAAGTCCGCAATGCAATAAAACACCCGCATGGTTCACGAAAAAAAAAATGCAACTGGTAATACTTTTTTACTTAAAAATTGATATTTCACTGATATTTTAGATCAACTCTACCTCAATGCATACCTATATATACTATTTCAGGTCAGTTTATCCTGCTGCTAGTAACATGTAACCCAGTAAATGCATCCGGCAACTGTTTTGAAGAAGACCTCCATAGCAAAAACTTATTAGCATAGGGATAAACAGATTCGATCTGTTGACTAGCTTCCCATCTTCTTCTATTAGCCTGTTGTAGATGTGTTTATAATATATTGTTTCAAGTTTAGGATGCTGAATGCTGAATCTTCTTGATTAAACTCATGGTTTTTTTTTTAGGTTATTTAGTTGCTCCCAGAAGTCCTTACGGTCTTATCACGGAGCACTGCAGGAGAGCATTTAACTAGAAGTTAATGCCTCCTTCCTTACCAATGTTGCTTATTGCGCTAGAGTCAAAACCCTGAGGTTGAACCTCGGACCTCTGATTTCTGGTAAATTTTTTTATATTAAGTTTTATCTCTTGCAAAGTCACCAGACCTACTTGCTCTTTGTGAGTCTAATTTAAGTTCGGCTGTCTTATCTTGTGATCTTAGTGTTAATAATTATCTTCTTTTAATTCGTAAAGACTTTAATAGTCACATTTACATTCGTAAGAATTAACTCATTTGTTGAAACTAAGTTTGAATCCACAGACAGTTTTTTTATGTGCTTTTGTTTAGCACTACGTCTTTCTTTTTGTTCTCCTTCATTTCATGATTGCACTCTTTTTGATTAATTTTTTTATTTCTGATCAAATTAACCAAGTCCTTATTCATTATCCTTCAACCAATATTGTTGTTTAGGTATTTTTAATGCTCATCACACTGAATGGCTTGATTCTAGAGTTAATGACTCTGCAGGTGTTAAGGCCCACAAATTTTGCCTTTCTCAATCTTTAACACAAATAGTCAACTTTCTAAATCGCTTTCCAGACAATACAAATTATTTACTTTCTCTACTTGACTTATGTCTTGTTTCTGATTCTAGTCAGTGCTCAGTTTCTCCACATCCATCTTTAGGTGCTTCTGATCATGTATCTCTCAAAAAATAATATCTAATTCTTCTTCATCATCTAATTCCCCTATTACTGTACCTTTTACAACTATCTTAAAGCTGACTTAGAGTCTTTGCGTGATTTTCTTTGTAATGGCCCTTGGGTAGAAATCTTTCATTTCCTGCTAACAGATGTGCTTTTTATGTACCTTCTTGGATTCAGGCTGACCTGGAATCTTTTATTTCCTCTCGACAATTCTAAGTCAAGCCTCACTCTTCTCCATCGTTTTCCTTTCATTGTTTTCTATGGTTATTCTAATATTGTGCTGCTTCAAATTCCAATTGTAACTATAACTTCCATATCTTTCGCCAAAACTCCAGAAAACAGATGTCTGTTTACTATTGTTAGAAACCATTGTAAGAAGATTTTGTCTAATGCCAAAGCCACCAATTCTCAGATCACAAAATCTTGTTTTTTATCTCAAAACTAGGTTCCAGAGACTTTTTTAAGAGATTTTTTTACAGTGTCTACATTCAAATCTGTTGTTTCTTCTCTCTTGAATGGCTCAGATTTTGTCACCTCACCTAAAGACAAAGCTGAATTGTTTGCTAAGAACTTTTCATCAATTTCATCTCTTGATTCTACTAGTTACATCCTACCTGATATAATCAACTAACAGGTTGATTTATTGCTTGAGATTCTTATCACTCCAGCTTCTATATCTAAACTGATTTCCTGCTTAGACTCTTCTACAGCTTATAGTTTGGACAACATGCCTGTTACAGTTTTGCAGAAGTGTTCCCGTAGATGTTATTTATACTTTCAAAACTATTTAACAAGTGCTTATCAGAGTCTTGTTTTCCAGCTTGCTGGAAAGCAGTATTTGTTGTCCCTATTATAAAAAATTCTGGAGAGTGATCTGACTCGTCAAAATGCTGTCCTATAAGCCTTCTTCCTATTATAAGCAAGGTTTTTGAATCTTTATTTAACAAACACTTAATCTCTATTCTTGAATCAAATAACTTACTTTCTGATCATCAATATAGATTTCGATCTTCTTATTTTACTGCTGACTTGTTAATAGTAAAAACCGATAGCTTTTATAGTGCATTAGATAGAAGGGCAGCACTCTTGCTTAATTCCTGTTACTTCAAAGGTTCCTCAAGGTTCTATCCTTGGCTTCAGGCGCGGATCTAGAGTGTAGCCGTTGTGGCTACGGCTTTACCTAAAAAATAATGAACGAAATAAAAAATTATATATAGTATCCCAACATATTTTCAAAGTAAAAATAGTCGGTTGTAATTACGATAAGTTTATTTTTTATTTGCCGTGTAAAACCGGCTTTAAAAGCGATTAATCAATTTAAAAAAAAAAACGGTTTAAAAAAGAAGCTTTGTGGTTAAGCCACAAACGACCTGATTTTACGGCATAGGCTGGCTAAATTTTCATTTTTTTTAAAGTAATATGTTTTTATTGTTAAGTCGTATGCCGTCAACACTCAAGGCCCGTGGCTAGATTGCTTTTGCCTTGTGGTTTTACTTATTTCCCAGCCCAGTTATATTTAAATTACGCAACCACCTTTGTTATTTTTTTAGTAAGTTGGTAATTATGGAGGATATGTTTAATAAAATACTGTTCCAAATGCTATTGATACTTCTCACATTAAAAACATAAAATGTTTTGAAAAAAAAATTGTTTACAAAACGAAAGTGGTTTAAATATCTCAGCAGTTTATTTTATTGTTAAACTTTTGGCGAGAAGATGCCCTAATGTGAATGTTTTTATCTTTTAAAATGGATCAAGGCTTTTTAGCTTTAAATACATACATTTTTTAACTAAGTTTTCAAAAACTATATTTATTATAAAAAGATAAAATGCTTTTTATCATTGTAACTATGTTTACTTAACAACAACTTCTTATTGTTATAACACTCTTATAACATTTAACAATAAATTTTGTTCAACAGGTACTATCAACCTGTTGCTTAATATTATTAATATGTTATTAATAGTTTTGCCACAAAGCTATATAAAAATTTTCCATTGTCATTAGCTATAAATGTAAACAATTAAAATATTAAATTTTTATTTTTCTAAAAGAAAATTGTAATCTTCAAATTTTAGCATCAATTAAAGAGGATTTTATAAGTTGATTTTATTGTTAGTAGAATCAACTATAATACAATATAGGAGACTCTTCAATATTATAGGAGAGTCCTCAAACTGTAAAGTTGTTCGAAACTTTTTCGAACTGTTTTATTTATACAGGTGACACTATCTTATAAGATCATTTAATATCAGCCTCTATATATGTCATATACTTTTCTTAAACCACACAAAATTAACTTAGTAGTAAGGCTTTTGAGGAGATTCTCATTACTGAAATTAATAAAATCAAGTCTAGGAAAATTTTTTTAAAGACTTTTCGTAGTAAATGACTGAAATTTCTTTCAATTTAACTTTAATTTAACAAAATTTTGATAAATTGAATTTTTAGATTACAATTAGAATCCAAGATAAACAATACAAATTATTTCAAACTTCAGAATCTTGAAATTGAAAATTAAAAAAACATGCGTCAAGAAATTAAAATTGGTACTGATTTATTTCATTATAACTGGTATAATATTGCTCTTGAATTAGCTATGGCTTTAAATGTTAAAGAACTAAAGCATAGAAAATATGCAATTCAATCATTATAATCACTCATCATCTTTAGTGACAGATTATTTTAAGCTTTCAATAGCTTTACCTAAACTGGACCATCTTATTAATGATCTTATTATTCATATAAGATTTCAGACAAAAAGCATGTTGGTTTATATGCGACGTTTGCAGTTCCAACCGCCACGTTAATTGTCACATGGTTTCCCCAATATTCTTTAACTTTTTTAACGATTTAATTCTAGGTACAATACCTAAAGATTAAAAATTTATTCAAAAAGTAGAGTGTTAGAAAAGTGATTGAATGATCTTGCCGTTATGTCAATTTATACAGAAACTAATTCAGATATAAGCAGGGTTTTCAGCATATTTTCAGCTTCTAAAGAGAGAAGTTTAGAGTTGCTATTTGATAATTATTAAATCTTATATTTACAATTATTTTTTTTAAAACATTTTTATCATTTTCTCTTAGAGCATCTTATCACTTATTTGTTTTAAATGTTTAATAAATAAATTTATTTCTATATTGTGTACATTTCATGATCTTCAACTTCAAAAATGTTAAATGTTTTTTAAAAAGTGTTCTAAACTAAATACAATGTAAACCACTAAATAAAAAATTTACATATGTGTGTAAATTTTTTTAGCGTATACAACAAAAAGATTGATATTCATAAAAAACAAAGATGTCATAAATTATAATTTTGTTACTAATTGCATAACTGCAATTATTATTGTTTTTTTTTTTTCCGTCAACAATAACAATACTTTTAGATTGACGCCTATTAAGAATATATAAGAAATTAGAAATGGGGAGCTAACCTTAGGCCGCATTACAGTTTACATATGACGTGCAAAGTCCTATGCCTTACCTTCTAGTTGGTGCACTTCGTTAAGTAAGTTAGACTCTGTATGTCTAACTTAAAAACAGAATAACCAAGGCAAATTTTATATTTTATAATTAGTTATTTTACTAGAATTCATTAAATTAAAAAAAAGTTCATCTGGAGCGGAACTTTGAATAATACCCTTACTCTTTTAGACAAGGTGCAAAAATGGATTGTAAATATAGTTGGACCTGCTCTTACAGCCAATCTTCAACCTACATTGTAGTAATGTCGCTTCTCTATCTCTTTTCTTTAAGTACTAAAATGGGCGCTACTCTAAAGAACTAGTGTGTCTTGTGCTATCTACTAAAGTTCATTCTCGTGTTACTCGTGATTTAATTAAGCTCATCCTTTTAATTTGACTGTTCCTAAGTGCTCCAAAAATTTTTATTCCTCTAGTTTTTTACCTCGAACATCAGTTCTTTAGAACCCCTTCATCTTGTTTTCTTGATTCATATAGTTTGCAATCTTTTAAGTTGTATGTTATCGCTATCTTGCTTTTAAACTTCATCTTTTCTTTTCTAGTAACTTTTAACTCTAATAGTGGTTGCAGGAAGTCTTGTTTGAAGTGAAGATGTTTAAAAAAAATTAAAAAACCTATAAGCAACTTTTTATTTTTATTTTATAGGAACTTGCTTTTCGTGTTGTTTTTTTTTTAGTTCTTATAATTTGCTTTTTTTTGCAAAAACTGCAAAAAGGGTTTTTTTTCGACAGCTTTCAAATAGCATTGCGATCTATATTTTATCAATACTATGTAGGTATTTTATCAATGCTATCTAAAGATATTTTATTAAATAAATATTTTATTAAATAAATTAAATAAAAAACAACGCAAAATAAATAACCATTTTTTTGCACATTGCAATACAAAAAGACTTTGATAAATATATCTGCAATAAGAGCCGTGGCTAAGCTCCCCTTACACACTCCATTGGGGGAAGGAGTCAGCAATTTTAGGGGGTCCATTTGGAAATTTAGAGGCCCTTTTTCAAATTTAAAATGTTAAGATTTTGTGGCTCTAATGGCACGTTTTTGGGGGTCTCCGCCCCACTAGCCACGGCATCGTCTGCAATATTAAATAAGTTACAATTTTGATGCATTATAAACAATTTTTAGTTTTTGTATACTAGCGTTGTTACGAATTTAAAATCACTCCACAATCGACAAAATCGACTAATATTATTTTGAACTCGACTAAAATTCGATTTAGTCAAAATACGGAAATAAATTTTTGAAATAAATTAAATAAAAATAATAAAGGAATTTAAATTCGATTTTATAAAGGGGTTATATTCGCTTCCGTTTTTTAACATCGCATCACTTAAAAAATAGTGGAGCAAAACAAAATTAGAGCAGGGCCGCTCCGACAACAAGACAATTTTTTTACAGACATTAATGATTTAGGGACCGCCTTTCATATTTACTAAATATCAGAAAAAATATACAATCTTATTTACAATGTCGATGTATAGATGACATTTAGATTTTGGAGCTTCACGATTTATTTTTGCCCGAGACCCGAGCCAGCTTGGAACGGCCCTGTATGAATTTATTATGAAAATATTTATGAAAATAACATATATAACTATAATAAGGAGTTGAATTGACTGATTATGGTCAAAGTTTTTCAGAACAACTTGACACCCTAAAATTTTTATCTATTTTATCATATGCCATAACGTTAAATTTGCGACCACGTCGTATTACGCTGATAGTTGTGCCAAATTACAACAAAATAAATAAAGTTTATAAACTTTAAATATATATACTTTTATAAATATTATTTATATTTTACTCTATACTTTTAAAAAGTTTAAAAATATAGACTTATCTACTTTTACACGTTTTAAAGTTTTGAGCGATTAAAGGTTTAAAACTTTTAAAAGTTAAAAATTTGTTCAATAGTCCTAGAAAAACAACCGCTCTGACAAAATTTTTTTTTTTTCAAAAGATTTTTTAAATAGCTAATAGATTAAAACATTTGTTCTCCGTTAATATTTTAATTGCTCGTTAACATAAAGACAAACGTGCAACTATTTTTCATTACATCCGCCGGTGGGAGGCAAATATTTCCGCCTCCAATTTGGTGGCCACACCCAGCTTGGAGACAGAAGCAATTGGAGGAGGCCTCCAAATGGTTTTGCCTCCTAAATATCTTTTGGAGGAGGCCATCATTGGCTTCCGCGTCTCTATTGAAATATTTTCGCCGTTTATCAACACTGGTAATGTGTTTAAGTTATCCAAATAAAAATATAATAAATTTAAATCTAACTTAAGTATTTTTAATAAATGACAAAAATTATAACGAAATAATATGTTATGGAGGTTTACGTATAAGTTTATGCATAACTTTTACTTACATATTTTTCTTGTACTTCATGCTCCTAAAATTAAATATATATATATATATATATATATATATATATATATATATATATATATATATATATATATATATATATATATATATATATATATATATATATATATATATATATATATATATATAAATGCAGCGGTGGCCAAAAATTAAAGACTACTTATTTTTTTTTCAAAATTTATTTTTAACCTTAGTATAATTTTATTTTGGAAAAAGATATCTAAAAAACTGACTAGTAAAAAATATAAATGGAAAATTATTTTATTAAAATTGAACCAATCGCTAACAACATGCGCTTTATGACACGGCGCATTATCTTGCTGGAAAATAAATCCATCTTGCAACTGCCATAAATCAATGCTAGGAATAAGCGAGTTTTCCAAAATTTCGATGTACCTTTCTTTGTTGAGTCTACCATCGAATAAATGAAAAACGCCAACTCCACAGGCACTCATACAGGCCCAAATGCCTATTGAACCACTGCCTTGTTTTGTTCGTTTCAAAATGCATGATTCATCGAACCGTTCGCTTGGAAGTCTACGCAACATTACGCAACCTTTTCTATTGTCTACCTCAACGTTCATTTCATCACTAAAGACCACACGGCTCCACTGATCTGTTGACTAATATTTATGTAGTTTACACCACTCTTTCCTGAAAAAATTTTGTTTTTTATTTAACGTGGTTTTTTTGCAGCAGCAGCCATAAATAATTTAAATTGAGGAGGACCCTTCGCCTAGTTCTAGGGCTTGCTTTCAGACCATTTGACAGTGTCCATTTCGTAGACAATTCTGTAGATTATGCTTGTCTGTTTTCTTTTATTAATCTCACTAACGAGCGAACATTGCGGTCGTTTGAAATTTTATTGCGCCCAGTTATATGACGATCATTAATTGACCCGGTTTCTTTGTATCGTTGAATTATGTTAACAATGCAAGAGTGAGAACTTCCGAGCTTTTCTGCTCTATGTCTGATGCTATAGCTTTCTTTTTTTAATACAAGAGCCGCGTATATGTCTTTTTCTTTGATCTTTGCACGCATTTTTGAAATATCTTTATATCCTTATTGCAATTCAAAAAATAAATGTTTTGATATCGAAACTCAGGTTTCCACATTTTATTTTATATCCAACGTAATAAGCAATTAAGACAGTTAAAAAAATAATCGATTATTATTTTTAATAAGTGCAAATTAAAGATTTGAAAGTGGTCGTTAAATTTTGTCCAATTTATTTAAAGAAGATTTGTAAGTACTCATCAGTTTTTTAATAAGTTAAACGCTATTTAATTAGAATTAGATTAAAAAAATTATACCATTTTAATCCGTATGTTTTAATTAACAAGATATTAAAAAAAATTTAATATGTCAATTAGAATCTTCTTAATTTTGATTTAAAGATTAAGAAACCAACTAAAAAATGAGTGGTCTTTAATTTTTGGCCACCGCTGTATATTAGAGCTGTTCAGTATGCTAATTTGCTTTCAGAACATAGTTAATTGAAGTTTTTCCCATTCAACTATCATATTGTGGTTCAAAAAAATTTTTTACTAAATTTTATTATTTGCCCTTAAGGTTCCTCAAAGCCCTCAAACATTTGACATGTTACTAAAAAAAAATTATAATAAAATATGTTGACCTAGTACTCATAAGAAGCAAAATCATTTAAAAATTTCAAAAAGAAAAAATGTTTTTTATAAAAATAACAATTTTAGGTTTTTTTAAATAAAAACTATTGCTTTTAAGCGAAAAAATGAAAAAAAAGGTAACATTTACAACATTTTCAATCATAATTCTTTTAAGTTGTTTTTTATAAAAAATGAATCTAATTTTTAAAATTTTTATAAAATTTTCCTTTTTTTGAGTACCAAGTTGACATATTTTTAAATAATTTTTTTTTAAATTATATTAGGGACCTGTCAAAAGTTTGGGGGCTTTGTTGGACCTTTAGGGCAAATAATAAAATTTAGGAAAAATATTTTTGAACCACAATATGATAGTTAAATGGGAAAAATTTAGCTATGTTCTCAAAACAAATTACGATACTGAACAGCCCTAATATATATATATATATATATATATATATATGTGTGTGTGTGTGTGTGTGTGTGTGTGTGTGTGTGTGTGTGTGTGTGTGTGTGTGTGTGTGTGTGTGTGTGTGTGTGATCAAATTTAAAATGGATCATTATTTAATATTATAAATGTTTCAGTTGTACATAAAACTAAACATATTTGTTATTATTTTAGTTATTATTTATATAAAGTTATTTTTAAAAAAGATGAAGTGTTAATTAAGTTGCGTAATTAGTTTCCTATATTTTTGAGGTTATCTCCCTAAACAGAACCTGCCACTTGTTAGTTGTGCAACTAAAAAATTCATACAAAAACAAAATTTAACTGTAACACATAATAACTTTTTTTTTACCTTAGTTCTAAGAATAGAAATCTTTCTGGTTCGATCAATCGCAACTTTACATAACGGATCTGAACATCTATTGAAATGAGAGTCGTTTTGATGGATATGTGAATTTAAATTACAAGTCATAGTGGTTTATCCAATATTAAAAGGCCGAATAGTTTTATATTTTACTTGTGTGTCAAAGAGTAGAAAATATAAAAAATGTTGAAGTTGTGTTATATTTTCAGAATGTTACTTGAAGTTGTTATTTTATTTTATATTCGTTAATAAACTATTACGCTAACTGTAAACAATGTTTTTTTTTTCAGTTCCGAATCATTTGTTATTTTTTCTTCACAATTATATGCGATTGCCTTTAAAAAGTTTTATTCTGAATTATAAACTGATGTACGCTAGCGTCGAAGAAACATTTATCTTGCTATTTTTTCTATTTTTATATTAAACTACTATTATATAAAATAATTAAACTACTCTATCAACTAAAAGATGATGTATTTGCTTAAGAACAACTTTATGTTTTGAGTAATTTCGTTAGAATTAGATTAAAATATTCACTAAGTTACTATAGTTACACTGTTTATGCGGCCATGAAACGTTTTTGTTCTGGGTACAGAACGTGATGGTTCACATCGACATAAATGTGATCCGGGTATGATAGACAGAGAAGGCGCTGGTGTTTCAATGAACAGCTGCTTATTCTGACTCAGTTTTTAAAAAGTTCAAAAGTTTTTTTTTACTTTGGAACAAAAAAGTAAAAAAAAAATGTTATTTTTCTCCAAGATGCTTATAAATTTTACCAATTCATCGAACTTTTGATTATATTTAGCCGTTTTTTCTTTAGTCTTTACTATTTAAAACATAACTATATATATATATATATATATATATATATATATATATATATATATATATATATATATATATATATATATAAACTGTATTTTTTAACGGTTTTTTATTTTGTAAATTTTTAATAAAATGGCTGAATGATTGCCGAATGGCATGAAACTAATAGTTCTATAAAAAGTTGAATTTTTTTGATTTAAATTATATAAATATATATTTATATATATTTATATAAATTTAAACAATTTAAAATGTGTTCTACAAAAAGAGTGCTCAATGTTCTTAAAATAACAGAGCAATTACAAATTAGTAGAAAATTTAAAATTACTAAGATTAGTAGAAAAGCTAAAATTTTGCTAAGTGATTTTCTACTAATTTATATATATATATATATATATATATATATATATATATATATATATATATATATATATCCTTTTTTTAATATTATAACCTGCAAATTATGATTTTTATATGTTTATTTTTAATTTATGTTCTATGTGCTTTAATCCATGTGTTTACGTTCCATGTGTTTCAATGTATGTCTTTGTGCTTATTATCACTTATATTATATTTAAAAAATGGTGTCACTCCTTTGATCAGACTTCTTTATGAGTGTCACCTTCCTAATAAATCATTACTTATTATTATAGATAATTTTATGATTATGACTACCATTATAATATTTATTAATATTATTATTTATTTCATAGCAATTATTGTAAACACACCTATTATTATTATTACTATAGTTTTTATTAATTTTATCTTATATTATTATTATTGTTATTATTGTTATTAATAATATATTAATAAATGATTCATGGAAAATAAATAGCTTGTTGTTTTATTTATTGTTATTTTTTGTTGCATTTGATTTATATTATAGCGAAGCAAAAAAACATTTAAAAGTTTTACGTAAATAAAACTTATATTTTTAAATAACTTTTAAATTCATTATTTACGACAGTGTAGTTCTCCTTACCTAATGAATAATAAGTCTGTTATAGGTATTACTAGTAATCTAGAAGTTAGATTAAAAAAAAAGAAATTCTATTTTTTAAATAAAGACAATAAATAAATAAATTCCATTAGTTTTCTAAAAATGTTTGCTGTAAAAATCAACAAGGCAGTTCTGAAGCATTTAGGCATACTTTGGATAACAAATCCTTTGTTTTAATTTTTGCCATTGAGTAATAAATAGATAATGAATGGATTTAGTAAGCTATATACTGTAGAGACTCAAGGACATTTTCCTAATCAATGAAATGTTTATGCCATGAAAAATGGCTCAGACTTTTGAGCGATGCTGCAGTTTGGCAGTGCCCAGTAAAAATTCTTAAATTGTAAAATTTTTTCTGCTAAATCTCATGCTAAAGCAAGAGGTAACAACATTCTGATTCTTTCAAAATGAGTTGCAAAGCCGTATAAAATAGTAGTGAAAATCATTTTTTATGAAAAGGTCAAAAAGTAATTAAATTTTATTACAAAAAAAATTTTTTTTTTTTCAAGCTCTACATTAGTATTTTGTGGCATGACCTTTTTTTGTAATAACTGCCAAGCATCTTTGTTGCATGGAATTAACAAGATTCTGACATCGTTCGACAGATATATTTTGCCATGCTGACTGTACTACGTCCCACAATTGATTACAACCTCTTTGATTATTTTCAGAAACTACTTGTTTAACATCAATCCACAAGTTTTCAAATGGATTGAGGTCGGGGGATTGTGCTGGCCACTCCATCGCATCAATTTTGATCTCATTAAATCACGATTTGGCTAACTTGCTCGTATGTTTGGAATCATTATCCTGCTGGAACAAAATTTTTAACGGCATTTCTTCTTCAGCATAAGGCAGCATGATCTCTTCAAGTATTTTTACATATACAAACCGATCCATGATACCTTTTATGAGATGTATAGGCCCAACGCCATAGTAAGAAAAACAACCCCATATCATTATTTTTGAACCTCCATGTTTGACGATCTTTAATGTAAATTGTGGCTTATATGCTGCACCCATTGGTCTTCTAACATACTATTTACGAACATAGGAACCAAAAATTTCAACTTTGCTTTCATCAGTTCACAAAACATTTCGCCATTTTTCTTTAGGCCAAGAAACATGCATACGTGCAAATTTTAAACGATTTTCGATATGTCATTTACTCAAAAGTGGCACTTTTCTAGGTATTCTTGCATTTAAATCGGCATGTATTAATCGTCTTCGAATAGTTGATAGAGAGGCAACTCCTTTTTCGCAAATGATACAATTCGACGATCTTCTATAGCGGTAGTTGATTTTTTATTTCCACGTTTTTCTAGTTTGGATTTCCATTTTATAGCATTACAAATCATTGTTGGTGAGTATCCAACCAGTTCTTGTATTTGTTTGTTGGTTTTACCATGATTTTTAAGATTTATAACTAAATTACGAACTTCTTCAGTACAATGCTTAGAGCGCCCCATGTTTCCCTAAAATTTCAAAGTTTTAGTAAGTGCATAAATTTATCTAATATCAAAATTAATTACTTCCTTATTGTTTATTATTAAGAACTAATAATAATTAGAATTTAATAAGTACAGCAATTATTATACAAAAATTAATTTTTTCCAACTATTTTAATGCACAGTCTAAAAAAAAATACGAATGACCTTCAATCGATAATATTGAAATTTAAAACCATACAGTGCTGGAATTATCTTTCTCAATTTTTTTTTTTTACTATTATAATCACAACAATTTGTTTATGAACAGTAACGATTAAAAAACAAACAATAGAAAAATATATTTTGATATTCAAAGTTTGTTGATAGAAAAATGAAATACGCACTACTATTTTGATTACTGCACACGGCTGTAAAGCTAATAATTTTTTTTTTAATGATGATTGTTTTTAAATTTGTATATAGTTTTGCTTTATTTTAAATCTAGGTTGACCTATAATTTGAATAACTTTTTTTTTTTATAATAATAGAAACCCTTTTAATGATCAAAAGTCTTGAGCAATCCGATTCGGGTTGTTTTGAACAAAAAAATAACTAAAATATGACTTATGTAAATATATATACATTTTTATAAAATATGATTACTAATTTAAAAACTTTGTAAAATTTTGCTACTTTTGAGTACGAGGTTGACATACTTTTGAAGAATATTTTTTGGATAATATTAGAGACTGTTAAATATGCAAGGGTCAGTTGGGATCCCTTAAAATTTTTTTTATTCAGAAATTTTTAAATAAAGTGTTAGTTTATAACATAGAACAATGAGGTGTAACAGGAGAAGTTTTTAAAAAAATCAATCACCCCACCCTAATACGTAGAGACTATTTATTAGTACATGTTTTATTTTATAAACGTTATGACAATCAAGGTATTTACCAAACGGTTTATGAGAACTTGTTTGTTGCTGTTTAAAAACTGTAAAAACATTGTTAATTGGTGATAATCTTGGTTCTCATTTTTGTTCTGTTAGAATGAGAAGTAACCTTTTATATAACAATACGTAACACTGCAACGTAACGTTACGTGCAAAATGTCCGTTATTTTTATGTAACCGAGACTTAACATTGTAACGTAACGCTACTTGAAAAATATTACGTAACAACACGTAACATTTTGACCTAATAACACGCAACACCGTGATCTGTAGTAAAAAAAAAAAATTTTAGTTTCAAACGTCTCGACAAACGCATTGTTAAATACCGTAACTGATGAGTTACGGTATTTAACAGAATTGTTTTATTTACAATATTATTTATATATTTAATTTTTTATATATTTGATTATTAAAAATGCAACAACACGTTTGTCAAAACTATTGTAATTAAAGCGTGGGTTTGTTTTTAAAAAAGATTTCCTAAAGGTAAATACAACTTTTAAAGCTTTTGAAGTTTTATTTACCTAAAAAAAAGTACATCTAAAATTAAAATAACTAACTGTACTTAGGCAATCTAAGGTACTTATTACCTTTATGAGTATAATCAACCGAGACATAGCGTAACGTAAAATTACGAAATTTAAGAATTGAAACGTAATTAAAATATGTTACAAAATAATCTATTTCTTGATACATTACGTCATTTTTTTTAAAAGGGTAACTAATTGAGACGCTACGTAACGTTAAAAAAAATCTATATTTGAGACGTATTTTAGTTACGTCTCAAATTTAGATTGAGTTACGTTATGTTACGTCTCAATTGGTTACACTTTATAAAGTTATAAAAAAATTTTTTGTTTTTTTTGTTTTTTGTTTCTTTTGTTTTTATAAAATATATACTATGGTATAGATATCGTTGTACATTAAATATCAGAACACGGAGGCTCAAAGAGGATTGTAAGATCCTATCACTGAGAACCATTTAGTAATGCAGTAAAAATATAACCAG